CCTGAGGGCTGGTGTGATTTGGGAGGCATGGTTAGAGAAGAGGTGGTAAAAGTGGTGGCTGAAGAGAGTAGGGGGATAGAGTAAAAGGAAGTAGAGAGGTGGAGAAAGGCAGAGCGGGAGCTGTGGGCAGAGCAAGAGACAGAGTTAGTGAGCGAGAGTTGGAGAGAGCATTGTGGAGTGAGTGAGATGGTTGAGAGAGCTGAGAGAGACAGTTGCGAGCAGAGAGTTGTGGAGTGTTGAGGTGTTTACGCTGCTTGGCGTCTTCAGCCCCTGCTTCTGTGTACATGAGTTTTTCTTCTGGAAGTTTGTGGCCTGGGGGGGGGGGGGTTCATTTGGAGTGGGCGGAGAGGGAACACCCGCTCTTATCTGAGGTACCCGGTGGAATAGGCTCAGCATGGGGTCCAAAGAGATCTCCATCGAGCTGCTGACTTCCAGGATTCACTCACTTTTAAGTATTTTTTGTACTCTACCAACAACTTTTCTTTATCAGTTTGTATTCCCAGAACTCTATACTCTCCTGAAAAGTTTCTGTAACACAGCTTCAGCACTAACCCCAGAAAACTCACGACTAACCAATCACCTTGGAATCCTGTTCTGATAAGCCACCACCAGAAACCCAGACCTCAAAACTCATTTTGGATTTCTGGGCTCTTTTCAAAATGCTTCTTTATATGTTCTTTGTTCTGCATAATGCTCTATCTCTCTCAATTTTAAAATTTAAGAATTCATAGTCACTTCTAAAATTATATTTGCAGCGTGTTCTCTTAAAGTTTCTTTATAGTCTTATCAAAATGTAATTCTTTCTTAAAAAAAGCATACTTCCCTATGCCTCAAGCTATATATATATTTGTCTCACGTTCTATTTCTACACATATTTGCCTCATCACTGCTATTTCTAGATGATAGATCATTTAATAGTATCTGAGAGTTCACTCAGACTCTAAGTGGCTTAGAGTCACATACTTTTAAAAAAAATTATCTTTCACAGTTTATGGGGATCAAAAATTGGAAGTAACTTGGTTGTGAGTTTCCTGTATTAGATGGCTTTGTACCTGAAAAATAATGTAGCAGTTGCATGGTATATAGTTTCCTGAGATACTATTCCCCTTTCCAAGTAATTTTAAATAGTATAATTTTTTTTTCAGAGTTTTCTTTAGATTATTAGTTGGGGAGGCTCTTTCTTCCTATTTTCTGGCAAGTAGACATGTCTTTTTAACCTGACAGGGTAAGATTAAGTGCAGCAGAGATGGTGCACTAATTGTACCTTTCCTTATCAATTCATTGTTTGTGTAAGTGAATTATTTCACATATTTTGAAGTAAATTGACTATTATCTCATTTTCTAGTATTACGAATTTGTGTCATATTTGGTTTCATTGTTAGGAATTGGGAAGTCACCAAGTATTAAATTATAAAGATATTGTAGGATTATAGTTTTTGAAGATTGACTGTTGGATTAAAAAGCACAATTCATTCTTTTTTCAATTAAATATTTCTCTATTATTCTTGTACTATACTTCCTCATTTTAGTTTCTTCCCAATGTCACATACTCAAGGAATTCTGTATTAATTAGTACTGAACTATTGTCTAGTGAGGTTCGCATACTTCATGGATGTTACTCAGACAGCCTCAATGCTTTGACAATATATTGATTCTGTCTTCTCATTCCAATAGGGTGGAAAAGTTTTGCAAGAATGCTATGCTATTAAAAGTTTGGGAAACACTAAATTGAAATATAAATTTATCTAAAAATTAGGTTCAGACAGAAAGTATCAGCAATTTAAAAAAAAACGTGAATTATTTCTGTTTCAATTGTGAGTAGACAGTTAACACTAAGCATGTTACCTTAACTACAACAATAAAAGAGAAATTGAGATAGATAGAGTTGGTATATGAAGTCTGTACTCAAAAATATTTCAAAAATTCAGAATCCTCTGCTCCTGCGTTCTGCTACTCTTCGTATATGACTCTAAATCTTATTTCCACCATGGCCATATTCCAAACAAGGGGAATGTAGTGTGGGCTTAAAGAACACGTCCCCTTCCCTTTACTATGTGTATACCCCATTTCTTCCTAAATCCAGTTGTCCAAAACAGTGTTGTTGCTATCTGAGTAGCTGCACCAGAAATTGTAGTCTTTAATCTAAACATATTTGTACCCTGCATGTAATAGTGAGTGTTGTCTCACTATAAGAAAAAGGAAAGATTGCAGGAGAGAGAGACAAGGATGAACTCTTCTATTGGTTTGCACTTTTTTTAATCACTTGAATAAAATAGTACAACTCACTTCTCTCTAGCTTCTTACCTTCATAATCAGATTATGGCATCTCTCTTTTTAGAAGTAAGAAAAACTTAAATGACTTTAAAAAACCTTTTCACTTAGTAATAGTTATATCTCAGTTCAGTTGTCATCTTCAGTAAAACTGAACCACTGTTTAAAGTTATCTCAGAAACATAGGAATCAGTCCAAGGTCTCTAAGATCTAAACACAGTTTAAGGACTCTGTGAAACCTTATGCAGAGTAGGTGAAATTATGTATATCATATGGTGATTGAGCATGGCCTCTCAAGTCAGAAGAACTGAATTTAAATTTCTTCTTTGCCATGTCCTAGATTTGCATCTTAAGCAGTATACTCTGCTCCCTTTGTTTGGTTTTCTATCTGAAACATGGAGGTAATCCTGTAATAACATATCTTCCTTATAGAATCACTGTGGGGACTAAAGCTAGATTCTGCTTTAAAAAAATAGTATATAATATTAAATGCCAAATCAATACTGATATTTTTATTATTTTAATTTGGGGTGAAGGTACTTATTTTCCATCTGTATATCTGTCTTTTATAAATATTGATAAGGAATTTTCTTGATTTCAGATTTTTACATCAATTTTACTTTACTTCTTAATAACTTTTAGATGCATATTTTGATAAATATAAACTATTTTTCAGGCTTTAAAACATATAAAAACCTATATGATTAATAATTTTATATAAGAGATTTCAGTATCAGTGATGGCAAAATGAAAGCCTATAGGAGACTGGGACAGAGATACATGAGGCAAAGCAGTTTTCTTTGTTGTTACTTGACTCATAAATTCTGTTGAACTGAACTGGCCTACAGTTGAAATGTTACTATCTCTAGTATAATGAACAAGTAGAGCCTGTACTGCTGCTCTTTTTATAAGATGTTAGCATGATGACTGGGAGGAAAAGTATTTCAAAATTGTTAGGAATTAATTAATATTGTTCTAAACTATCGCCCGATCTGCCTATTGTCTGTCATCTACAAGCTGTTCACTTGAGTCATCCTGAATAGGATTGGCAGAACACTAGATGAAGGACAACCATGCGAGCAAGCAGGGTTCCGCAAAGGATTCAGCACCATCGACCATATCCACACGGTAACGAAGCTCATTGAGGTTTCTCGGGAGTTCAAGATGCCGCTCTGCTTAACGTTCATTGATTTAAAGAAGGCCTTTGATTCTGTTGAGATGGAAGCGGTCATTGAAGCCCTAGCCAATCAGGGCATTCAAGCCCAATACATCAGGATCCTCCGTGAGCTGTATTGCGGATTCACTACCAGGATCTCACCATTCTACAAAGAAGTGATCGTTGATGTCAAGAGAGGGGTGCGGCAGGGTGATACCATTTCACCGAAACTCTTCAGTGCCACCCTCGAGAACATCATGCGACGACTGGAATGGGAAGGAATGGGAGTGAAGATAGATGGTCGGCAACTACACCACCTCCGCTTTGCTGATGACATTGTTTTAATAACACCAAACATCAGCCAAGCGGCACAAATGCTGGCCGACTTTGACCGTGAGTGTGGAAAGGTAGGACTACAGCTGAATCTTACGAAGACAATGTTTATGAGAAACAGCCTTGTTCCTGATGCCCCATTCGCTCTCAATGGAACGACCATCTCCGAATGCAACAGCTATGTGTACCTAGGTCGAGAGGTCAACATGACAAATGACCTGGCACCCGAGCTGCGCAGGAGGAAGAGAGCGGCTTGGAACGCCTTCAAGAACGTCGAAGAAATAGCTAAGAGGACGAAGAACCTCTGGCTCCGGGCACATCTCTTTGATTCCACTGTTCTTCCTGCATTAACATATGCCTCAGAGACCTGGGCCCTATGCAAACAAGATGAGAACGCCATTCAGGTCTCCCAAAGAAGAATAGAAAGAGCTATGCTTGGAATATCACGTTTCACTCAAATGAGAGAACGAATCCGGAGTTCTGACATCCGTCGACGATCAAGGATCAGGGACGCTGTCTCATTTGCCAAGGTGTCGAAAATCAGATGGGCTGGTCACGTAATGAGATTTAAAGACGACCGTTGGACTAGAGCTGTTACTGATTGGATTCCACGGGATGTCAAGAGACCGCGTGGCCGCCCACCTACCAGATGGTCAGACTTCTTTGTCAAGATCATGAACGATCGGTTTGAGGCCCTCCATGTTCCCGGAGCGAAGAGATGCCATTGAGCTACACTAGCACGCGACAGGGACAAATGGAGACGTTACTGGCGCCCGCTCGAGCAAATCGACGACTAACGGGAAGTTAAGTGATTAAGTGAAGTGATTAAGTTCTAAAATAAATTGAAAATGATATATTTACTAAATATTATTTTCAGAAAATTAGTCAGCAGCAAATTTTACATTTTATTGTTTCTTATCTGTTAAGGTTGCACTGAGCATGAAAATTATTTCCATTTTAAAATACTTTCCTGAATCTTAGAGGAATTATTTTGGCAAACTGATTGGTATCAGACTTAGAGTTTAAACACAAAACAGCTGTTGTTGAGAAAATGCTATTTTCATAACATTAATATGGTTTCAGTTAACAGTTTGGAATGAACTGTTAAACATTACCACTTCCATACATAACTACTGTTTGATTATCTCAATGACTAATTTGTTTTTTTCAATATATTATTTACTGTATCTCAAAGAGGAAGAATTTTATTGAAGCAACCCATGTTTTTCCTCATTTGCAGACTGTATCCAAGAAAAGTGGGGATTTCCAATGTGCCACTACTTAAAAGAAGAGAAATGGTGCTGTGGTCGTAATGCCAGAATGTCAGCATGTTTGGTATGATTATATTTTATTCTGGACTAAGAACTTTATCCAAATATTGCAGCATAATATTTTTGGCTAGTTCCATGTATTAAATGCCAAGTTTTCCAGAGAATTATCATTAATGATTTTGTGTATTTTATATCATCAGAAAAAAATGACTTGTCTTCCAATAATTATCCACTCAGCATGCAATTTGATAAGACTATAGAATTGTGCTTTAGAAAAGAATCATAACTGCTAAATTTTAGATATAATTGCATTAATTATTAGGTTATACCAACTACCAGGTATTAAATATAGAACTAATTCAGTGCTTTGTCCACAGCTTTGTTGTGTTTTTTTTTTATATTTGTAGCACATCACTAGGTCTAACTAATTTTTTTTAATTTACTTATTTATTGATTGATTTTGAGGTACATTTATAGACTTACAAATTTTTGTGCTTGGGTTTCAGTTACACAATGATCAGGTACCCATCCCTCCACTAATTTTATATGAAATGGGGAAAATTTTATTAAGCTGCTTGAAATACAAACTAATTGTTCAGTTCAATGAGATATTTATTTTGCCTGATTTATCTAAGGTCCTTAGACTGAGAATACTTTAGCCCATGCCCTTCTTTGTCATCAGAGATTTAAGATATGTGTGGACCAATACCCCCACTGAAAGTAAATGCAGAAGTCTTGTCAAGATCTTAGTGAACCAAATTCATTAATGCATTAAATAGATAGTATCATTTAATGATACCATCATTATCATTGTATGGAACTCACTAAGGATGCAAAGCTTTTATTCCAAGAATCCACATAAACAAATCAATTCATGTAACTTACCATCTCAATAAAAGAATTGATGAAAACAATATTTGATCATGTTATCAGATTCAGAGAAAGGTTTTGACAGTATTTAACTTTTGTTTATGATAAACACTCGCTAAAAAGTACGAAGTACATATGAACTTCAATGACGCATTTATAACAAACACAGTTAATATATTCAGTGATTTTACAAAAAGTGAAAATGATCAGGCACAAGAGAAACATGTCCATTCTCACCATTATTATTAAACATAGTTCACTATAATTTACCATAGGTATCATATATGTAACTTTTATTTATGATAAACACTTGCTAAAAAGTATGAAGTACATATCAACTTAATGAGGCGTATATAACAAACACAGTTAATATCATATTCAGTGATTTAAAAAAAAGTGTGAATGATCAGGAACAAGAGAAACATGCCCATTCTCACCATTAATATTGAACATGGTTCACTATAATTTACCGTAGGTATCACATTCCTAGATATTAAATTATGAATCTATTATAACCAGATTTTGCCATGCAGGCAAGCTACCTGTGACATATTCATATGCCAAACACAGTAACAAAATGCCTCACAATGGAGACGTTACTGGGCCCGCTCGAGCAAATCGATGAACAACGGGAGGACAGTGCTGCAGTGCTATTATAACCAAATAATAGATACTTTTTTGGAGCGATAGCACAGCTATTGAGCATTTGCAATGCATGTGGCCAACTCAGCCAACCCGGGTTCGATTCCTCCACCCCTCTCAGAGAGCTTGGTAAACTACCAAGAGTATCTCGCCCAGACGGCAAAGCCTGGCAAGCTCCCCAGGATGTATTCGATATGCCAAACACAGTAACAACAAGTCTCACAATGGAGATGTTACTGGGCCCGCTTGAGCAAATCGATGAACAATGGGAGGACAGTGCTACAGACAGTGCAGTGCTATAACCAAAAATAGTGTGGTACTAGAATAAAAGTAGACATACTGGAAGTAGGCTTGGTATAGAAACTCAAGTCACGGGGATATGGTGCCACCAGCAGGTTAACCTGTACCCACAGAGCTAGTGTATCAGCAGCCTAATGGTACCTTCAGACTTTTTGATACACCCAAAATTGCTGCTGTGCCTTTGGCCGGACCCCAGTTTACCAAGAAATTAAATGGCAAAACGTTAGGTATGTGGGAGCCACACCCACAAACGACCTCCAGCTCAGCTATACAAGTTCATTTATTGGCCTTATTTCAGAGACCATAAATCTTGAAAGAGATAAAAAAAAAAGCCACAGTTAGGACTAGCAGAATGTGCTGCAGGTGAGCAGGCATGCCCTGCAGGGCATATGCCAATAGTTCATTTCTCTGGAAAAAATGGAAACAAGGGCCATGATCCAGAGACACAAAAAAGAATCTCCTTTGGACTTTAAGCCAGGCCTACTTCACTGGGGTGCCTCAGATGGGGGTAGGTGTCGTCCCTCCACCTGCCCCCTAAAAATCCCAGTGTCTGCCAACTTCCAGAACCCAATGAGAAGTGCAAGTATGTGGGTTCAGTGACAGTAAACTCCAGACCTCAAGGGATAGGGGATGGGCTGTTCCTTCTCATTCCCCTGTACCCATGGAACTCTGGAAATCACGGCCCACAAAGTGCCTCCTGCTGCCACTTAAGCTCTTTAATGACCATGATCCAGAGATAAGCAAAAGAATCTCCGAACTGAGCAGCTTTCTCAGAGATATCTCCAGACCCTGATTATCTAAAATTTTAGAATTCCAGAAGCACATGGCCACTCTTGCAGCCACCCAACATCTTATGGTATTCATAACAAGCAATACATAAGAGAGTATGGGGGAGATTGTCTGCCATAGAGACAGGGAGAGTGGTGGGATAAGGGGAGACTGGGGATCTTTTATTTATTTATTTATTTATTGAATCACTGTGGGAAAGGTTACAAAGCTTTCAGGTTTAGGTCTCAGTCATGCAAATATCAAACACATTTCCCTTTACCAATACTTATTTTTTACCATGAAGAACCCCAATAAAACCCCACCCCCCACCCCTCCCAGTCCCTGTGAGGCAGATGAATTCTAGTTAACACTCTATCTGCTTTGATTAGATTCATTGTTTCAATAAAAGATTCACCACTATTATTTAGAGTTTACCCCCCCAAAATCAGACATGCTGAAAAAGCATTGTGAAGTGATTTGCTTTCTGCAGCTGGGTTCAAGAATTAAATGTTGGTTTTGGATTTCTGCTATTTTACCTATTGACCCTGGAAGTATTTCTACTGAAAGTCAGATAGTTAAGAAATTGGTTTCTGTATTCTGGAGTCGTGGCCGTGCTGGAGAGCCGCTTGTGGGGGGGCAACTGGTGGCCTCGGTAGGGCGTGAAGGGTGGACCAAAACGCCCCCCTTCCCATGAGGTTTTAGACTGGGGATCTTGAGGGTGGAAAATATGCACTGGTGGATGGTTGAGTGATCAATCATTGTGTGACTGAAACTCAAACAGGAAAGCTTTGTAACTGTAACTCACAGTGATTAAAAATAATAATAATAATAATTAAAAAATTGAAACTCAAACCATGGCAATTAGGGAAGAAAAATGAAAGAACAGGCTTGCAGAAAAGTTTGTCACTATTTAAACTTAATAAAATAATATACTTTTAAAAAACCAATTATTCCAGTATAAAAGTATCCGCTCTCCAAAATATAATAAACAACAGTCTACAAAATTGACATAGGAAAGCATGTTTTATGTTTATATGCAAATAACAATTTAGAAAATAAATGAATAAAATCAAATCCCATATACAATTAATTGCTTTTAAAAATATCAAACATCTGGAATCAACAAAGGAGGTGAATTGCTTATATGTCAAAATCTTTAGGTCACTAATTAAAATAAATAGAAAATCCAAGGAAATGGAAGAAATATTATGCTTATAGATTGGAAGAAATAGAAACATTAAAATAGCTGGGCTATCCCATAGTTGAATTATACAGAGAACTCAATATCTATCAAAAATTTTAATGGCAGTCTTAAAGGAAATGCAAAAAATATTAAAATGTGTATGGAACCACAAAATTCCTCAACTAGCCAAAGAAATTCTAAGGAAAAAAATTAATGGGAGGCATTACATTTCCTCACTTCAAACTATAAAGCCATAGTAACCATAGTGTGATACTGGAATAAAAGCAGATACTCAAATCAATGGAACAGAATTGAGAGCCTGAAAATAAGCCCTCAAGATATATGATCAGTTATATTATGGCCAACAAGTCTAGAGTTTAAAATGAAGGAAGGAAAGTCTATTTAATTAAAGGGGTTGAACTGGGTGAAACTAAACACCACCAGCTCACACTGTGCAACAGAGTTAATTCAAAATCAAGTGAACACTTAGGTGTTAGATCCAAATCCTAAAATACGTAGCATACATAGGCACAGTACTCCACGATATTGCTTTCATTGATATCTTTGACGATTCCACTTCATTGGCAAGGAAACAAAAAAAGCAAAAATAAATGGGTCTTCATCAAACTGAAAAGCTTCTGCATTGTAAATGAAACCATCACTAAAATAAGAAAACTTCCTTTTGGACGGGAGAAAATTTTCACTCACTATCTGATAAAGGAATAATGTCCACTATTTTAAAAACACAAGCTCAGGGGCTGGAGCTATAGCACAGCGGGTAGGGCATTTGCCTTGCACGTGGCCGACTTGGGTTTGATTCCAAGCATTCCATATGGTCCCCTGAGCACCTCCAGGAGTAATTCCTGAGTGCAGAGCCAGGAGTGACCCCTATGCATCACCAGGTGTGACCCAAAAAGCAAAAATAAAATTAAATTAAAAAAATAAAAACACAAGCTCAACAACAACAAAATAAATACCCCATTCAAAATGTAGAACAAGCTCTATACACTTTTGCAAAACAGACACAACGGATGGTCAACAGGCACATGAAAAAATGTTCGTCATCTCTGAATAGAAGAGAAAATGGAAGTAAAAGTGACAGTAAGAAACCACCTCATAGGAGTGAGACAGACCTGCATCTAGAAAGTCAAAAACAACCAGTTTGGGCAGGTTAGCAGGCGCAGGCAGATGTAAAGAAAGGGAACCTCATTCACTGTTGGCGGAAATGTCAACTGGACCAGGAAAACAACATGGAGAGGGGCTGGAGTCATAGCATAGCGAGTAGGGCATTTGCCTTGCACGTGGCCGACCCGGATTCAATTCCCAGCATCCCTTATGGTCCCCTGAGCACCACGAGGAGTAATAACATAAAAATAGGGCTAAAGAGAGAGCTCAATGGGCTGAAGAACATTCTTTATATGCAGGAGTCTCAAGTTTGTTACAAGTCACCTGAGCTCTAAGCCAGGAGCATTTCCTGAGCACCACTAGTGTAGCCCAAACCCCAAAAGAGAAAACAAAATTATCCCCCCCTAAAAAAAATTAATCATTTCTATCCCTTGATAGAAATTCAAGGGTAATTTATCCCCCATGAATTATTTTTAAATAATTGTATCAATAATTGAAAATAATCCAATCTTTGCCTTTAAAATACAACAATATATAGGTAATTAAATAGAGCCAAATTGCATAGCAATGATATACTTAAGCATGGACCATAATACTACAAAGTTTCCCCAAATTTCTCTTGCTGAGTCCTGTCATCGCCAGCCTCTGAATCTTGCATTTGCTAGGTCTTTTGATAGCACTTGTCCTTGTGTTTGACTTAATCTTGCATTTTTATTTCATCATAGTCTTGACTTAATCTTGCATTTTTATTTCATCATAGTCTCTTTGATTAAAAATCTGTATATGATGTTGTCATTAAAAGTCTGTGTCAGTTTTTTCATCTGGATCTTGAGGAACAAGAACAAAGTGATGGAAATTGGTAAAGGATCTGCTTTCTTGAAAGAAGCACCCAAAAATGTGAGCAGGGCCATGTCAGATATGAAGAAATGTGTAATAGTGTGGGGTGAAAACCAGAGACAGAAGTATCTTTCTTGATACAATGGAATGTTACAATGAAACTAAAAGAATAAAATGTTTGCAATGTTAAAAAATTGCAGTGTTAATCCAACTATGGTGCCAAATTTATTGCTAACTATGATGTTCACATGACAGCAAAATTGCCAAATGTTTTTTTCTTAGAACATGTTACTGTAATGTTAAGCAAAAAACATAATAATTAAGTCATGCATGGCGGTAATGTGTTTAATGTCCAAACTCCTATGATAATTTGATATTTCTGAAGACTGCTAATTTTATGCAGGGTAGCAGCGATATGATAATCTCTTTTGATTTCTCCTTAGTCCCTTCTCGCTTCTGCCTACAGTGACTTTTTTAGTGTTAGAGTGATCTTGTCAAGTTTTGGAAATTCTTCATTTAGCACATTTTATTTTATCACCTTTGCTCTGCACCTGACCTTTCCACAAATATTGAAAGATCAAAGGGGTTTTAAAAAAAAGTAAATAAATCTTACCTTTTTGGTAATGTTTTTTAAAAATTAAAGATACTAACCAAAAATTGAAGCAAATGCTTGGTTTATCTTTCCTTATTGTCCAAAACAAGTATTTATTGGCATGAAATTTCTTATCCTCTACCTGATTATTTTTATTATATAATCAAAATTTATTATTTATTCTTCTAAAGTAATAAAACTTAGCAACACACACCAAAAAGTGCTGCATAATATACTTGTGTTGACAGCATGTAATTTATTATGAAAACTCTATTTCTTTACTTAGTTCAGCCTTTTAGCAAAAGTCATAATAAGTCTAATCTGAAGTTAGCACAATCAGTACTAGATATGAAACTTGTTTTTTTCAAAAATAAATCTGTTCTGGACCTGTGTTACTATTTCCTTTAATACAAACATTACATAATAACTATCTCCTGCATTCATCATATTCTAGCAGTGCTCCCTAAGGTAAGCAATTTTGTCCTCTGTCCCCTGAGAGCACTGAAACCATCCAGGAGGTCAGTAATAGCCTCAGATGCATTGGGGAGACCATTCCTGTTAGTTCATCTGAAAAAGATTTCTAATTGGGTGGTGAGTGATTTTTTTCTGAAAGGAGGACGGGGGTGGCTTAGACTTAAAATAAGTTTGGGTACCTTTGTGATGTTCAGTAAAAGAATTCTTCATGTCAGTGAGAAAATTACCATTCCTTCTTCCAGTAATTTGTGTGCAGCAAATCATCTTCCTACAGTGAACTCTTTACATCTACATAGTGCAGAGGAGGGAGACATAAATAGGGTTCCAAGAGCAGATTTTTGGTCTCTGTTCAGCTGCTAATGGTCTGTGCAGCTTGATGCAAATTTACCTTATCAGTCACCTATGCATTTGTGAAAACTGCACTCTTATAAGGCAGTGTGTCAATTATCCTTTAACGTATAATTAAAACATGCGATACAGCTATATCCAAAAAGTTTTATTTATGAATAAAAAGAGATCTGAAACAAATGCAGGTATTTAAAATTTGAATTGGAAGTATTTATAGATATTTATTTGAGATATCGTTCAATTAGCATTTCAAAAATAGGATTTAAGTTAAAGTAGTTTAGTCTAGTGATAAAATATTACGAGTGTGGAAAGAATTAGTTCCTAAAAATGAAAGTTTTAGAGGTACCTTTAAATGAAACTTTCAAATGAAAGTTTCAGAAGTGCAAGTCTGTACCCCTATATAAATTAGAACAAATATATATTATTCATGTAATTTTGAGTATATACTAGAATTGTTAGAAAATGCTTGTTAACATTTTTAACCTTGAGTAAATATAAATTTATACTTATATTAAATTTATAAAATATAAATTCAGCTACATATGTATAAAACAGTAAAAATGTGTATTGCTTCTTCTTTTGCCTAACCCTTGAATCATATGTTACAATTCGATTAGAATTTGCAGGCCATGCAATCCAAAACTATACATACTTTAAATGAATATTTTGTTCATTTTGTAGATAAAGATGAGATTATATATTTATAAAAATTTGAAGAAAATATGTTGACATTTACCATAAAGCATATTATGCATAATTTTAGACCTGGGCTTAGTTGATCTTCTGAAAGTGAGCTAAGAGTTTTTATTTCCTCTCTGCTGTTTTCTAATCCTTATAAATTTCAAGGAGTGTATACGATTGAGGTATATATGTGTGTAACATGGCATACATTCAATACAGATCACCGCTAAATTATACAAGTTGACATGCCATAATGATATTAACACATTTATGTGTATAAACTTACGTGTTATCACTTAATTAATCTTTTTAAGTGTCACTTTTACAAGCTATTCTACAGTGTGTTTATAATTCCTACAAGATAAGACTAAATATGTCAGCAGTCTTTGTCTTGTTTTTTTCTCCTTAAAGGCACTGGAGCGGGTTGCTGTTGGCCAGGGGGTAAGTAAGAGTGTTTACTCTAACCCAACTGATGAACATGACAGTTTTCTCTCAAGTACTTTTCATTCTTGACCTGATAATGAACTTAAAACCTGATGGGATTTAATAAATATCATCTCAGTTTGTTACATCTTCATACTCAAATTTATATTTTATATGTTTACTTAAATTGAAAATGAACTTTCAGTGAAAAGAGCTTTTTAAGAAAAGAAAAAGAAAAGAAGATGACTTTGAGAAAAAGTTTCACATTATTTATTCTCCTACTGTCATGCCCCATTTCATTGCTTTATATTAAACGATCTATAAACATTTCTAAAGAATCCCTTTGCTAACTAGGAGGCTTTTAGTTCAAGTGAACATAAACAAGGCATAGCTTTCGATTTATTTCTTATTTTTTAGTCCAAAATGCATATTGTGATTGGTTATTGTTTATTTTGTAACTATTTTCTTTAATATCATGACTAGTCATTAGTTGCAACAGCCAAATAAGTTTGCACCATATGAGCAGAAGTTAAATGTATTCCCAAAGTATGCATCTGATTACCTGCTCTCTGATTACCACCTGTGATTCTTTTAACATGCTAGGGAATTTTAAAGTTTTTTTTAAATAGTTCTTAATAGTTTTTCGTAAGATTTTTTTCTGTTGTATTTAAATTATAGAGATTTCTTTTTTGCTTTTTTCCCCCCAAAGGCCATTAATATGTTCATTTTAATTTACTAAAATAGTAATAATTTAGGGGCTGAGAGATAGTACAGTGAATAGGGCACTTGCCTTACATGCAGCTGACTTGGATTCAGTCTGTACTACTACCCCATATGGTTCGCTGAGCCCTACCAAGCATGATCCCTGAGCAGCACAGAGATGAGTAAGCCCTGAGCACTGCTGGTTGTGGCTCAAAAAAAAAAAAAAAGAAGAAGGAGGAGGAGGAAGAGGAGGAGGAGGAGGAAAAGTGAGGAGGAGGAGGAGGAGGAGGTGGAGGAGGAGGAGGAGGAGGAAAAGTGATAATATTCTATAATAGTTGCATCAGTAAGTACTTGTTCTGAATAGGGATAATGATATTAGTGACATTTTTCCTTTTAGGCCATTCATTGTACTTACCTAAGAATTAATGAAACTGCTGGTTGGCATCTTGTTTACATTAAATTACTGGTTTAGTAACCTTGGATACATGCCATAATTTTTTATAGCATTTAAAGTCTTCAATAGGAAAAACAAATAATAATAGGTATAACAGTAATGCTTTTATTGTAGAGTTATGAGGATTCAGTGAATGATAAATGTATAATGCAAAAAATGATTAAAATATACTAAGTACATCTACTAGAACATATACTAAATACTCAGTGCCAGCTATTGTTGCTGTTGTGTTATCAGTAATTAATAATAATATGAAAATACTGTCTTAACAGTTTGACAAAATATTTCTTAGTGTTTTCTTCATCAGTTAAATCACACAGTACAATGGATATCTGATAGGTTCTCTTGTTATCTTGATATATACAGAGGAGACTCTCAAGTCGTCTACACTGAGATCTGTATCTTTAATTTTAGACCTACACTCTTAAGTAGTGAGCTACTTCTCGGTATAGTAGTTCCTAGGATTTGTAAGAGGAAGGATCTTTTGTCATAATAATATTATAGTGTATTTCTGTGGATTTCTATTTCCTGAATGCCCATTCATGTTTCAATGCCCAATCAGATGAGTTCAGTGTAATCCCAACCTTTTCAGAGACTGACTCACAGAAGTTCAGTTGTGTGTTCCTGCCCCCTTGGTTTATTCATTCCTGAGTCCTAATTTCAAGCTCAGTGCCCTTTCCACTAGACCTATAAAACGTGTGCCTGATATCCATGCTTTTAGGATGTGCTCTTTCTGCTCCTTCTCATGTTAAAACACCTTTACTTACTCGACTGATTTATTACTTGTGAAGAAGAGAAAGTAAACTCTGAGCCCCATTTAGTTTATTTCAGAAACAGTCAGGCACGGGCTGCTCAAGAGCTCTTGACTCCCTTCCCACTTATTCCCTCCATTTTTACCGAGATGGATAGACTTAGTTTTACCAGGAATGTCCATTTGAGGCACTTCATAACTCTCTTCCATTTCTTAGAAAACAGCCATAAAGATACTATTTACTGGGGGTAACATTTATTCGATACTGTTCGTGTTTCTCTCTGCATTCCATTTCTGTATGTTTTTGCTTAAATTGCAAGTTTGAGGGTCTTTTTATTTTGGTTTTCAATTTAAAAGCAGTTTTTCATTACATTTATTTCTAATTTATTTAATGATTTTACATATTCACATAAGCTTAGAAAAGAACTTTAACTATTTAGAGTCAGTTTCATATAAAATTTACATAAAAATATAGCTTCCATCTATTATAGCTAGTCAAGTAGAAAGTTAGGGCTTTGTAAGTCATTTTCAATACTAGCAGTAATATTTCCCCCCATGAAACAGATCTCCTAAAATGCCTTGAATTTCAGCAGAACAATGTAAGAGTAGGTGTTAATAAAAGTTAAGGCATTTCAACATTTTTATAAAAGAACTGAAGATATTTCAGAAACATCTTGAAGTCAAGATTTGGGTACTGTAGAACAGAATTATACATGTGAAATGTAAGATGTGAAATGTTTTCAGAAATATAAAATTTTGAATAAAATATTTTAAAGCAATTTTCAAAGAAAGTTAAGAACTCAGTTTTTTCATGGTTTTTTTGTTTTTGTTTTTTTGTCTCAAGTCAAGGAGGTTTTATATAAAAATTGTGACTGGAAGATTTTATGTAAGAAGTGTGCCTAGAAAAAGGTTATAAATTTTAGCATGGGCACTCAAGTATGCATATGCACTGTACCTGCTTTAGTGAGTTATTTTAGCTATTCACTTTGGAATGATGGTTTTGCAAATCCCATTATCTACCAGAAACAACTCTGCCCTTTTCCCACCATCCAGAAAGAACAGAATGTGTGTTCTTTCAAAGTGCTCTGTCAGAATTCTACAAGTCAGATATTCTCTAGTGTTAAGTCTTAAGGACAACATTTGCATTGTTGGAAGATCCAAGTAATAACAATCAACAGCTGTACTTGTGGTTTTTGTTCTATTAGCACTAGGGGCCTGAAGAATAGGAGCTTGAATTTAGATGAAAGAGGGGTGGAAAAGAGTGACATTTCTGCCTATGCACTCAGGCAGAATTTTATTTTGTTAATATAAACTCCATCTGAATTCTAATACTCATTCTAACTGCAATCAGAAGTAAGGATTTGGGCGGGATAGACACAGAAAGATTGCATTCATCTGGGGAACATAAAGTAACAAAATGAGAGACTAACACCCAGGAGTGGCCCAGATTAGTACCAGGAATTTTGTTCCATGACTTGGAGGCCAGCCACACGTGCTAGAGGAAAAGGAAGCTCAGATGGGAGCACCAAATAAAGGGTGTTGGGAGGATCCTCCCAGGATGGGAGAAGCTTGCTGAAAGTAGACTATAGACCAAACATGATTGCCACTCAATGGCTCTCTTGCAAACCACAGAGCCCAAAAGGAGAGAGAGAGAACAAAAGGGAATGTCCTGCCACAGAGGCTGGGTGGGAGGGATACTGGGACCCGTGGCGGTAGAAAATGGGTACTGGTGGAGGGATTGATCATTGTATAACTGAAACCCAAGCACAAAAATTTGTAAGTCTATAACTGTACCACATGGTGTTTCACTAAAAAAAAAAAAAAAGTAAGGATTTGGGGTTCTGAAGGAACGTTAGAAAAGGATAGTTCAGTGAACATACACATCCCATTGGACTATGTCTTTAAAACTATACCTGTCATTGACTGATTTTAGGGTTGTTTTTTCCCCCGTTTTTTTTATGGAGTGATAGCACAGCGGTAGGGCGTTCGCCTTACAAGCGGCCAACATGGCCGACCTGAGTTCGATTCCTCCGCCCCTCTCGGAGAGCCCGGCAAGCTACCAAGAGTATTCGATACGCCAAACACATTAACAACAAAGTCTCCAATGGAGACGTTACTGGGCCCACTCGAGCAAATCGACGATCAACGGGAGGGCCTTTTTTTATGGTATCACCATGAGATAAAATTACAAAACTTTCATGTTTAAGTTTCATTCATACAGTGATCGCACACCCATCCCTCCAACAGTGTACATTTTCCACCACCAAGGTCCCCAGAATCCCTCTCCCCTACCCCTCCTCCTCCCTATGTCTTTTCATTTCATTTCATTTCATCATCCTGTTATTCGTCGATTGCCTCGAGCAGGCCCCAGTAACGTCTCCTTCATCCTAGCCCTGAGATTATATTCAAGGCTCTTTAGGAGAATGAGACCCATCATTGTTACTGGTATTTGGCATATTGGGTACACCACGGGGAGTTTGCCAGACTCTGCCCTGTGGGCAGGCTACATTAGATAGCCTGCAAGTTTGTCCAAAGTAGGAATGAGATAATAAGATGTCATAAAAAGATGTCCTGATAAGATGTCATTCGCGGCCGCGCGGTTCCGCAACCTGGATTTTATAGTCTCTGAGTCTTGGCCGTTGATGGGATTACACGGCGCCAGGGGACCAGGTGGTGGGTGTGACCCCCGCCTACTGGGATTTGGAGGATCTGGGTGGAAGATGCTTGACTCCAGTCCGCGTAGGCTTGGAGATCTCGGCCCCGGAACCCGCGTGGCTTTGTCCCTCTGCCAGTACCTTCATGTGTGCGGAGAGTGGTCTCAGCATGGTGGTGGCTGGTCCTGGAGGTCTTCGGCTGCCGGAGCCCTGGTCAGGGCGGGGAGGAAAGCTCAACCCGCTCCCCTCCAAGGGGCCTCGGTGAGGAACAGCCAGGCGCGGGGTCAGAAGATTAAGAATCTAAGAATCTAAGAGGTCAGAAATCTAAGAATCTGTGTCTTAGATTTCTCAAAGTTCTCAGTGCTGTTGATCTCCCTCCATTCTTGCTTACTTTTTTCCCTTTCATCACTCTTGCGTAGAGGGCAGGCTGTTGTTTTAGTATTAATTTGCATTGGGTTTTTAATACTAATTTTCAACAAGACAATATTTCTGTATTGTTGGCATAGAGATTAATATTCTAGAGTATATCATTGTGAATTCAAAAAGTGTGGGGCGTAGGACATGTGCTTCTGGTGACTGAGGAGACTGGCCCACAAAGATAGACGACAAAGGAACAGGGAAATGGAGGAATAGGGCCCACAAGCTGATTGGTAGTCAGGGACATTTATTTCATACTCATCCTCATCCTTATAGATTCATTCTCCTACAGTGTAGTTGCTTCTTCTACAGTGTAGTGGGTGTACACATAGGTGTGGTTGAACATTATCATAACAACAAACATATGTAAACCCACTCCTTCAGGGGAAATTCTTCTCAGAGATTAATTTAAGGACAAAAATCTCATCTGTGGGTTCAGCAGCACTCTAGATTACTAGGAGATCTGCTCAAGGGTGGGATCCCAACTAGGGTGTATTGCTTTCTCCTTTGCTAAGTTAGTAATCCATTTAAACAATCATAATAAATTTACTTATTTCTAATATTTCTATTCATTTTGTATAAACACAGTAGGAGATATATTAATCTTAAGGTTAGCTATTCCTGGGGACATCTCGCTATATATCCCAATCAGGTTAGTCTTTCTTAACCCCAGGAGGGTCCTTATTCAGTTACTTCTTTTTGGGTCATGACAGAGTTTGTTCCGTGACTGTGCTCCTATTGTACTTTTTATTGCTCTTACCTTGTCCCTTTTTCAGTGCCAAAGTAGCCTATACCTTGACCTGGGTCCATCCTTGTCCCTCGCTAAGACCTCCTTTTGAGGGTATTGGGAAGAAAGGGTAACTGAGTCTTAAGTCAAGTAAATATGATGGATGCCCAGGAGTAAATATTATTCGGAATCAGTTAACTGCAATGTTACAAAAACATAGCATCAACTGTCTTCCTATGTCTTAAACGAAAAGGACATTGCTAAATAAACCATGCAAATAACATAAAGAAAAGAGAAAAGCAATATAGGGTTATTAGTGCCTGATAGAATTGGCTGTGCCTCAGGGGCACTGTTGTGGGAGTTACTCAATAAACCTAAACTCTCTGCGGAAGGAGAAAGGACAAACCAGTGTTATACAACATATCATATAAAATGTTATATTGTATTATATAGTTATATGTGGGCTTGTGGGTAGAGTTTCGGCAACTTCTGTAATTTCCTAAAGAATAGTTTCATTGCTGCAGCAAAGTTTATTCTTCTACTTACACTGTACTTTTCAACTTTAGGCTTCTGTGAAACTAGTATGTTTTCTCTCAGCCTTTCTCTTCAGCCATTCCTTCTTTCTTTTGGAAAACATTTGAAACTTCACCTACACCTCCTACCTTTTTTGCCCAGGAAATGAAACCTTGCCAAGATTTCAAGCCCTGCTATTATCCTTTCCAAGGCCCTTCTTTTTTAACTCTACAGTAGCCAGTGTTGTGATCTTTCAATTCTTAGACATAATTTGTAATTCCTTTTCTTCTTGGTAGAAAAATCTCTAGTTTACTACTATTCAATAAATCCACTTTCTCTTTTCTATGCATCTTTTCTGACTACTTTCCAATAGATTCCAGAGCTGACTTGATTATTTGTAATTGTTTATATTTATTGGGCTGGAGCGATAGCACAGCGGGTAAAGCGTTTGCCTTGCACGCGGCCAACATGGCCAACCTGGCTTCAATTCTTCCACCCCTCTCAGAGAGCCTGGCAAGCTAACGAGAGTATCTCGCCTGCACTGCAAAGCCTGGCAAGCTTCCCGTGGTGTATTCAATATGCCAAAACAGTAACAACAAGTCTCATAATTTGTTGTGAGATGTTACTGGTGCCCACTCAAATGAATCGATGAACAACGGGAGGACAGTGCTATAGTGCTATTTTATTGTACCTTTAGTTAATACATTTCACTGGAGGGGCTCATGCTTCTTTTCAAATGATTATATCTTATTTGTTATTTCTCCTATAATTTTTTCTACCTTCTTACATAATTACTTTCCAGTTGCTTGCCTCAGTATAGCATTTTAATATTAAATGGGAAAAATTATAAAATTTACCTGTATATTTTACAACAAAGTTAGGCTAGTAACATCCCCTTATGATTCCAATACTGGTATTGTTTTTATTGGAGGCATTTTTAAGTTATTCATTTTTTTTATGATTATAATATGTCTTTTTTTTTTTCCAGCTGCCTACTGAATCACTGTTCTACCGTGCGGTCCTTCAGGATATTATTAAAGATTGCTATGGCATCACCAAATGGTATGAGCATTTTATTTTAATAAGAATAACCATGTGTACTTTAAGTGAACCATCTTTTAGTATAGGTAAACTTATATAGGGTGACAGTAATTGGTAGCAGCTTTGCATTTAAACTTAATAACTAAGAAGGATATGTTAACTATATCTTAATCTTTTTTTTTATATTTTTGATTTTGGTTTTGACCTGGTCATGCTGAGGGCTTATTCCTGGCTCTGTGCTCAGGGGTTACTCCTTGTCGGGTTCAGGGGACCAAAAGTAGTGCCATGAATTAAACCTGGTTGGCTACATGAGAAGTAAGTGCCCTACCCACTCTACTATCTTTCTGGTCCAAATCTATAATTTTTTAAGTGAAACGGAGGTTCAATTTGTTTTGTTTTGTTTGGTTGTAATAATATATAAAGATTGCTGTGGAATTTTAGAAATATTTAATTTGTTATAAACAAGTAATTCAATAAATAATATATTATCATTGAGCAGTATTATATTTAAAATGGTTCATAACAATACATACATACTTAGGACAGATATCTATCATCAACAAACAGTGTGACCATGCAAGATCTACTAATAAAATAGTAGGCCTGATTGTGTTTTGTTTTCTGTTTCCCACCCCCCCTCCAATAATGCACTCTTCACAAACAGTGGCAAAGGTAGGAGAATTTTTCATACTTATTGTTCAACAACTGCTACACTTGCATACAATTTTAATCCTGTCAATTTTCATGAATGTTCACTTACTAATTTTTTTCTCTTACTATTTTTAGATTTCTGTTACCCATTTGCTTATAGTAAAATATTCCAGATAAAACATAAGTTTTTGGCTTTTGAAAATCCACACTAATAGTAGCAAAGGATTTTTTTTATCATTTCTCTAGAAGAATAATAATTTACTGATCAAGATTACTGCATACAATTTTCTACATATAGCATTGGTTTTTACTGATATTTCAATGTAAAATCCCCAAGTTCATACCCACATCTCTATTCTCTTCCATATAGTTACCTATTTTCAAAATGATAATTAGTGAATTCTGTGTGTTTTGCTGAAACTAACTCCTTCTTTTGAGTTCATCCCGAATATGCTAAGCTAGTTGTATAAAATCACAAAATTGTGCAAATTCATAATCATACAAGTATTGATTCCGTTTTAAGACCTTAACTCTTTTTACAAATTAATTTTTCTCTTAATTCCCACTTGAGGCTATTAATGTTCTATTCTAAATCATCTTCTCACTTAAAAATCCATCAACAACAATTCCCCATTTCTACTTTCTTTACTATTCAGAAAATAGATTATTTTAATTATATATTTCGTTTAAAAGCCTCACTCACCTGTCAGCCACAATTGGACATATGAGTGATTATTGTTCTTCAAAATCTTTTTTATGATCAATTGTCTAGCTGTATTCCCTGGGATATGCAGAGAAATAGAACAGTAGGTAAGGTACTCGCATGTGACAACCTTGTTTTTATACAGTACCACATATCATCTCCCGAGCACTGCCAGCATGATTTCTGAGCAATGCCAGGCATGACCTAGCTTCCAACTGCCCCTCTCCCCATAAAAGTGCATTTTTTTCCCTCTTTTCTTACTTGGTACACTTACTAATTTCATGAAGGGTTTTTCTTCCTACTCCATGCTTTTAGTATTTTGAGGCATTCTCTAGTGTTCTGTCTTCTGCTACCATATCTTTTAATTTCCTCTTTCTCTAACAGCAAGTAATTTATTGCATGTATTTGACTTGTATCTCTTTTCAGAATTTCAAATCTATGTTATGCATTTTAATCTGAAAAGCTTCACATACATTCTTCACAATTTTACTAAATTCAGCTACATCCAAAGGCCAAAATCAACTTTGTAAAATTCTGTTTCTTTCTGTTTCTTTTGACTTATTCTGTTTTTTCTTGGTATTGATATAATTATTTCCAAGCTTAAGAAATCCTGAAAAATCTCATACTATTTTTCTCCCATCACCCTGTTTGAATCAGCTTCAATTCATTGTCAAGATTTGCACGTGTTATACTTTTTTCAATCTGGCAACTGTTCGCAGTGTATGTCAGGCTGCCTACTGGGTCATAGTTACATAGGATAGTGTGTCCACACAAGAGTATTTTATAGTCCATTGTGACCACATACTTGGTTATGTGTGTGGCAAGGTTTGTTTTTAATTGGTTTGAGAACATGGAGACAGAAGAAAGACTAGGAATTGCAGAACAGATGTCAGTGAAAAGATGGAAACCAAAAGAGTTGAGCAGTTATTAGGGCTGCATTCTCTTAAGAGATATCCAGTAGGCAACATAGGAAACAAAGCAAAGAGAGGAAACATTCTATATAGTGTTATGTGACAGAAGTTAGTGTCCTATCAAGAGGACTAGAACTATCAGATTAACTACTGTTACTCGAGTTAGGGCCCTGAGGGTTCATATTATCTGATGAGTATGAGTTAGAACTGGACAGTCCTAAAATGGACTTAGAATTATTTCAAGCTGTGATGAAATTACTTCTTAATACTGCTTTGACTAGCCGTCTACTAGAAGCAAAAGTAGTGTATGTGTAATCCTCTAGGAAATTATTGCTGCAATTTGCTATTCAGACAGAATCTACCAAACAACCAAAAATTATGTATGTATGATTAAATGAGGTGACATGACAAAGCCAAAAATAAATATAACCAACAGAAATGAAACCATTGGAGATATAGAATAACTTAAAATAACTATGCTCAGGTGACTTTCACTCTGGGAAAATAGCAACACTTTTTTTCTCCCCTGGGAGATGAGCTACCCCAGTGATATTTAGAGATTGCTCCTGGCTCAGAATACTGTTGCTGAGGATCAAACTGGGACTGCCATGTGCCAGACACACCTTATACTATCGGTACGATAAGATCCACATCTCCGTGTAAATATATTTGAGTGTCTCGAGTATAGCTATGTGTGTGTATTTATATATGTACATGAAACTTTCTTGTAGTTGCATATATCACTGTGTGGAACTTTGAGACATCAGTGGTTGCTGGGGAAGACTAGGCAGTAAGATTGAAGGAAAGTGATTTTGGCTAAAACGTTACACGCGCGCGCACACACACACGCACGCACACTGACACCTCTTTATCCAGTCACCTGTCCTTAGCACTTGAATTGGTCCCAGATCTTAGCTATTAAAAATTGTAATGAATTTAAATGGGCATGTATCTTTTTACATTGGTCTTTCTTATATTGTTTGCCCTGATATTTATTATCAAAGAGAAACAAATTAAAATAATAAAATATCACCTCACTCCTGTGAGAATGACCTGTTATTAAAAACTAATGCTGATAAGGGTCTGAGGTAAAGGAACCCTCAATCACTGTTGGGAATGTAATTTTATTTAGCCTTTAAGGGAAACTGTGAAGAGTCCTATAATATTTAAAACAGATTTACCAAATGACCCAGCAATTGCACTGGTCACTGTCACTGTCCTCCCATTGTTCATCGATTTACTCATGCGAGCCCAGTAACTTGGTAAGACTTGTTACTTATTACTGTGTTTGGCACACGTTACGGTAGCTATGCTATCACTCCAGCCCATTCCACTGGTATATTATTTTTATATATACCAGTAGGCTGGAGCAATAGCATAGTGGGTAGGGCGTTTGCCTTGCACAAGGCCAATCAAGCCAACCCGAGTTTGATTCCTCCGCCCCTCTCAGAGAGCCCGGCAAGCTACCGAGAGTATCCCGCCTGCACGGCAAAGCCTGGCAGGCTTCCTGTGACATATTCGATATGCCAAACACGGTAATAACCAGTCTCACAATGGAGACGTTACTGGGCCCGCTCGAGCAAATCGATGAACAACAGGAGGACAGTGCTACAGGTTAGCAAAAAGCCTTTGTTTGTCTTTTTTTAGGGTGTCACACCAAGTCATTGGGGAGTGTCACACCAAATCATACTCAGAACTTATTCCTGACTCTGCTTAGGGATCACTCCTGGAAAGCCAGGGGAGACCATCTGGGGTGCAGGGTTCAAACCAAGGTCAGCTACATACAAGACTAGCCACCTTACCCTCTGTACTATCTCACTGGCTCCTAAGCAGAAAGTTTTAGGATGGATAGTTATCAAATGTAAGCAAGAACTTAGAGCAATTGGAACTGTTCACTTTGTTGATGGGATTTAAGAAGTTTGTTCAGTCCCTTGAAAAATAAGCTAGCATTGTCTAATAAAATTGTAAATTTCTCAGTGCTTTGTCTGAGCAATTACACATCTAAGTATATATCTTAGGAAAACTTTGAACTATACACTTTAAGAAATTGTTTAGGAACAAAAGTTTTATTAATAGGAGAATAAATAAATTTCACTTCTCCGTTAAAATAGAATGAAGAGATAATGCACTTGCTTTCATGTACCTGACTCAAATTTTATACCCGACACTCCCTGTGGTCCCCTGAACCCCTCAGGAATGATCCCTGGGTACAGAGCCAGGAGTAAGCCCTGAGCACAGTGGGATGTGCCCCAAAACTATATATATATATATATATATATATATATATAATAAAAATAAAATAAAATGGAATGGCATGCTGTGACACAGTGAAAAATAATAGTTTACAATTATATGCATCATTGTAAATGAATCCTATAAATATAGAAATTGCAAAAAAATTACTTTAGGCTGGTTACTTCTAATAAAGTAAAGTAAAGTAAAGTAAAGGCCCTCCCGTTGATCGTCGATTTGCTCGAGCGGGCCCAGTAACGTCTCCATCGGAGACTTTGTTGTTACTGTGTCTGGCATATCGAATACTCTCGGTAGCTTGCCGGGCTCTCCGAGAGGGGCGGAGGAATCGAACTCGGGTCGGCCATGTTGACCGCTTGTAAGGCGAACGCCCTACCCGCTGTGCTATCGCTAAACCAAACACAACTGGGTGATTATTTAGGAGTATAAATAGGCATTAGACAATCTCAAAAACGTATGATAATGGTAAACACAAGCAGGGTTCAGTATGGTGATTTCCTATGGGA